GGGGGGGGGGAGCCAAAAACGGGAAAGAGGGAAAACCTCTCCCCCTCCCCCTGCCTGGTGCAGCTTCGGGTGTAGGGGAAGGTTTTCCCAGCAGCGAGACAAACAGGATCACCTGCTCATGTCAGCACCCTCGTGCTGCTGCTGCTGGAGGCACAGGCACCGCGCCCCGTCGAAGTGTTGGCAACTCGAGAGTGGCCGCCGGTGGGTGAGGAGACTGACCAGAGAGGCACGATTCGGGATCTCCATCTCCCCCCTCCCCCCCGGGCCGTATTCCACTGGTCCAAAGGGCCTTTCTTTGCTGTTTGCATACCATTGGCGCCAGGCAAAACCCCTTTCTTTCACCTTTTTTCGGCTTCCCCTCCAGGCGATTTGTCTTTCAGGGGCAAATTACCTGGAACGAAAAGTTCCATCTGCTGCCGCCATTCCACACACACACACACACACACACCAGCAGTGTTTCCTCTAAGCTGAGTTAGTGTGAGCTAGCTCACAATTTTTTAGTCTCCAGCTCCAGAGCAAACTAATGTATGCAGTAGCCAAATTGCCCATGAGTACCTCCCTCTGGAATTAACTGGGTCCCTGGGAGGTTAAGGGAATTCATGGAGGGATAGAGACAACAAGGCATCTCTTCAAAGCCCCCCTCCCCCAGATATCTGTGTGTCTTTTGCAGAGGTTGGTGTGCTTGTGTTTTGACGGGGCCAGTGTGTACAGCTGCTGTCTGAGTGGGTGGGTTGGGTTGTTACCCTTCCAAAAAAGAGGGGTTGAAAGTCCCCTGTGGATTGGATTTTTTTTAAAACCCCAAACTGGGTCACGTGGCCTCTACCAACAGCACTTGGGCAGGGACGGGCCTGTGGGCTTTGTTAGGCTCCTTGTTTGGTGGTGGTGAAGGGGAATAATTTCTTGCACCCAAATTAATCTCTGGTTCAGGAAATTGCATTGATCTCTGATGCTGCATGCCTTAAACAGGGCCTGGGTCTTTATTCATGTGACTTAATTTCATAAGTAAATATTTCTAAAACAACTTATAGGGGCAGGGATAGGGTGAGGTGATTCTTACAAACATGTCATCAGAAGATACATGCAAATGTGGCTTGCTGAGTTATCAACTAGCACATGCTTTTTATGTAGCTGCTTAGTGAGAGTTGTTGTATTCAGAACTGTACCAGCTGCTTTTGTGTTGCAGATTGGAGGCTCTCTGACAGGACTCCTGTAGCTTTTGTATTTATGTTCAAAACATGGAGGACAAGAAATAAGAGTTACATGGCTTATTCTTACTCCATAACTATAAACTCGCTTTGGTGGCGAGGTGCTTAAAACTGTGAGGCAAGATAATGTCACCTTAGAGAACACCTAGTAAACTTTCTTAGGCTTTATTGCTATTTGCATTTTTTCACTCTAGTACGCTTTACATAATTATTTGTAAGGCTGAGAGTTGTCGTAGACCTGAGTCTTTTATGACAGGTAAAGGGCTTACGGCAAATCCATGGCTGACAGCAGCTTACCTGCATTTCAGTTAGCACAGACGATTCGAATATTTGTGGTCTCTTTTTCTGTCTTTCTCATGCAGTGTGTTTCTCAGCAAAAAAAATGAATTTATTCACTCAGACTTTGTACTAGGTTTGTTTGTGTTACAAAAACTAGGGAGGACTGATGTAATGCCGTGGCTGCAGCAGTTAGTCCCCCATTCAGATCTCATCTCTGCCATGAACTCACTAAGAGTCTTGGGCAAATCCCTGTCTGTCTGTGTCTTCAAAATGGGAATCTGACCATAGAGGGCTGTTGTTGGGATTATCAATTTTCATGTAGTACTTTATTCTAAAGGTGTGTGTATACACACACTATGTATATTAGTATATCACTGGGATATGGAAAGAAATCTGAAGGTAGGACCCAAAATGCAGATGACTGGATCATTAAGGAGTAAACTCAATCATCCATGTACTTTTTAATGTACATATGCATGCAAACTTGACCATAGTAACCATTTCATGCTGATGGCTGGCTGCTTTACTACAGTTTGTTAATCAGAATTCTATGTAAGGATCTAGTCTCATTACTATTGCTAACAATGGATTCCTGGTAATCGAAGATGCTCATAAACAAGGCTTAGTGAGGATCGTTACCCCCCAGGTGTTGGGGGCAATCAGAGGTGTCCTGCTTCTCAATATGAAACTTCCTTTTGTCTTTCATTGCTAATATCATTGATAAATGTATTCCCTATGGAATTTTTGTTTTTAAAGCCTTGTGAACTAGAGGTGCCTGCTGTATATTGTGGCAAAGAATTATTTACTTGTGTATTGCACGACTCAAACTAGTTTTCATTGGGTGAAAGGAATGCTGTCAAGGCCCAGCCAACTTATGATGATCCCCTAGGTTTTTCAAGGTAAAAAACTAACAGATCTGCATATCAACCCTGGTGGTCTCCCATCCAAGTACTGAACAGGGCTGACCTTGCTTAGCTTCCAAGATTGGGCTAGCTTGGGCCATTAGTTAAATTATATTGTTTAGGTAGAACTGGAAACTTCTGTAAGCGTTTTTGGGTCCCTTGGGGAGAAAAGCAGCATAGAAATAGCAAAGTACATACATAGAATGTTTCCTTCTGGACTTAACAATAATACATTTTATTGGATGACCCCCAAGGTCTAGTCTTTTAAGAGAAAGGGTTCCCCCCCCCCTTTTTTCCACACTGTAATTTCCCCCGATGCCTGATTAGACAGACTAGTAAGGTGGGGGGAGGTGCAGTGAACAGGTTGTCTTTTAAGAACGTACACAGATGAGTGAAGTCTGAGCATCTTGATGGGGATGGTGGTATTAAGTTTCAAAATGGGCAGGCAATAGGGAAATGTGTTCAGGCTGGGTTTGAGGACAGCAACAGAGAGGCGTCTGGTAAAAGAAAGAGGCTGCCCAGCAGGCATTATGATAATGACTAGACTCACATGGAGTGATATGAATGGGGTGGAGCCTGTGCCATATTTGTAGGGCACTGTTTAGGGCCCAGGCTAGCCTGATCTCGTCTGATCTCAGAAGCTAAGCAGGGTCAGTTCTGATTAGTATTTGGATGGGAGACCTCCAATGGCAAGCCACCTCTGAATGTCTCTTGCCTTGAAAATCCTTCGGGGTCACCATCAGTGTTCCCTCTAAGCTGAGTTAGTGTGAGCTAGCTCACAGTTTTTTAGCCTCCAGCTCACACATTTTTGTCCCAGCTCAGGAAGGACAACTCCGGAGCAAACTAATTCATGCAGTAGCCAAATCGCTCGCTCACAGCCTGAATGCCAGTAGCTCACAAAGTAGAATTTTTTGCTCACAAGACTCCACAGCTTAGAGGGAACGGGGGTCACCATAAGTCAACAATGAATTGACGGTACTTTCCAGCACCACCATTTAACAAGAATTGATTAAGTTTTTATATAGCATGCTTTGGTGTTTGAGATCCTTTGTGTACAATAGCCGGTTAAGAAATGGCAACTCTGTTTTTCTTTAAATTACCTGTGGCCCTAGTTTCGTTCACTCCAAAATATCCGAAAGGGAGTTCTTTGCCACACTGGCTGCATGCTCCTCTCTGTTCATCTTGGGTTTCTTGCTTCTGCATTTTGAGTTGTTGTTTTCTGGCCACCGTTCTTCATGAGTGGGAATTAGCCTTAGGTTTACTATCCATATTGTTGTTTGCTGGCCAACAGCTTTCTAATTGTATCTTAAGGATTTTAAAAGTTCCAAATGAAGGATTGTTAACTGACATGCTGTGATTTTACCATGTGTCATTATTTTGCTTTTTCAAGAAAGTTCAGCCACGCTTCCATTTTTGAGGCTGTGGTTGGATTGCTTAGACAGTGGATGGGGTTACAGTTCCTTGGTTTGATTATGCATTGGGATCCAGTCAGTTTACTTTTTGAAATGCAAGTTGAAGATATGTGGTCTCCGTGGCATTTGATTTATTTAATCAATAGGATGCCTAGCATTGGACGGCATCTATAATTTTTAATCTTGTGCCTTGATTGAAACCCGTGAAAATCAAGAACGCTTGTCCTACAACAAACCTGGGCAACTAGTGATCCAAGTGCTTGATGGGCATTCGTGTTTTTGCAGTCCCCAGTTGGCAGTAATCACAGGAGCTTTAACTGGGCTCTGATAACCTGCTGTATGTAGCTGGTGAGTTGCAGTTAGCTTGGAGTGTTATAAAAATTGTGCAGACTTTGTATGGTCTTGTAGTATCTTGGAGACATGAAAAGCAGCCAGTGAGATATTGGGTATGGAGAAGCAGGTTGCTGAGAGGCTGAACCCTTCATAAGCTATCTGTTTGAAAGAATTGTCTGCAGTTGACAAAGCCTGAAGAACAGCTGAGCAGTCTAGCAGAGTTGTCAATTGAAAACTGTGTCGCTTGTCAACTCAGCTTGAAAAAGATAACATTTTTCTGGAGGAAAGAATGCAAGGTGACTATAATCAGACTGGCAGGCATGTTGTTGGGGGAAGTGGTTTATTTTCCACCCCATTGTGTCAGTAGTTTAAATGGCAGGGGAGGATAAGGGGGAACATGTAATCACTTATGCACCCATACTGGACAAGGCTAATATTGCCATTGAAAGAGATGGATTAACATTCAGTAGGATGTCACTTGCTTAAAGAAATCTCAGTTGAGTTTCAATAAAGTAATGGGTTATATTAAATCTGCATAATTTTCATGTGAATAAGATAGTTTTGAAGCAAATAACACACTTTATTTTTTAGCTGAGACATTTATGTAGCTTAAAGGTAAAGGTTCCCTTGCTTGAAAGCCAGTCAAATCCGACTCTAGGGTTGCGGTGCTCATCTCCTTTTCAAAGCCGCAGGGCCAGCGCTGTC